ATACTAATTACAACAACGACGATGCAGAAGATGTACGCGATACTAATTACAACAACGACGATGCAGAAGATGTACGCAATACTAATCACAACAACGACGATGCAGAAGATGTACGCAATACTAATCACAACAACGACGATGTAGAAGATGTACGCAATACTAATCACAACAACGACGATGTAGAAGAAGAACCTGATAAGCAGTCCGAAGGTGATGCTTACATGTTCAACAACCATATAGATGAATTTACTGATAATATATCAAATAATAATCATGAAACTGAATACAACGGATTCGGTAATGGCGATGGTGATGATAATACTAATAATGAGACGTCAAAACAATATGATAATAATGATAATAATGGCGAGGCTGAGGGGATAGAAGAATTTGATGGAGGAAATTTATAATAGATTAATGTTTATACAGTTACGAATAAATTTAAAAATGAATCACAATCGCTATTACGCAACTACTCAACAATGCAAAAAGGTACATACCATAGAAGGCTGGTTTCTCTATTCTCGGTGCAGACAGTAAAATAAGCTTAGATTCTATTCTTTCGCGCAATAATTTTACAAAGGACTGTGCATTTCAGGCAATAACCTATGCAAACAAATTAACCAGAGCATCAAGACAATATTCGTTATTATACAAATTACTAGGCGAATTATTCATCATTTCTACTAGCTTTTAGACCACTTGCGTCATCAGTTGTCTAATGAAATACTAATGTCTCTTTAATAGTGTGTCATGATGGACAGAATAATAAATTAGTAAAAACCCAATTTTTTGTTTGGCGCATAACGAGTCTCGCCAAAGAGCCTATTCCCCATAATCACGGTAAAAAACTAGCTAGAAGCAATAACACAACTATAAGATACATAGCATAACATTCCAACGGCCTACTACTACAAATCTTGCGAAATGTAATCAGTAAAAGAAGAGTGGAATCCGCATCCATGAGGCATAGCTAAAATTTGCAGGCGGCTTTTTATACATTCTGTGCCAAGGTATAAACTCTCACCCAAGTATTGTGTAATTAAATAATCTTTAATCGAAGAGTGTAAGAGCGATAATCGACGCGTCTAATTAAGGAATTTCTTATGCTCGTTCTCAGCCAATTAACAATCGTAGACATTAATTTCATTACCGATTATAGTACTTTATTTAATGTAAATATTATGATTTATTATTTGCTCAAGCAGTTTCATGAGTTAACTTCGGTCAGCGTCATCGTGCGTCGTCGATAATTAAAATTCTAATAATGCGAAATACTATTTATTTTAAGTAAATAAAATTTGTTTTTAGGTTTAAATAAAAGGTGCTTTCCATGCAAAAAATTGGGGTTTCTATCATTCGTTTCATCAGTTGTCTAAATGAAATCTTATTAATGTTTGTTTAATATCTAATATAGTGGACAGATTAATAAATTAATAAATTACAACCGCGTAATATTTTGTCACCTGTACAAGTAAACCATTTTATAGAACTTACTTTGGCTATTCAACTTATCAATCTAACACGCCAAGATTTTTAACCAAAGTTAAAGGGAGGTTCTCTAAACTCTTTTTGGGTCATGTTAGCCATCAACGCTCTGATCACAAAGTATTGTGAAGTTATTTCGCAAAGATTCGAGATTTTTAAACGATAAGTCTTCCTGTATCGTATCTTGATGCCTTCGACGCTAGGGATAGTAGTTGAAGTTGACATAAATATTGTAGGGTCAACAACAGTTGTATGGTGGCAATCACCTATAAACCACATAGTCCGAAATTTCAGATGTACAGCCCCCTCCCATAAATGACTGAGTAACACAAAATTTCGTAAATTATATGTCGAATTTGCACGCATGTAACAAAAAACTTTACTAATGCAACTGTACTTCGTGCACTAATTAAACTTTCTAGCAATATCATTTTA